GCCGGCCCGCTCTGCGGTAAGGGGACGAGCAGCTGCGGGGAGGGGTCGGGGTGGGGGGGAGCGAGCGGCCGCCCCTCCGCTGCCCGCCGCCGCGACTCGCTCTAAGGACGGCCCCAGCGATCTCCTCATGGTGGGCCTCTGCCAGGCCTGCGGGGTCGCTGGGCTTACGGGGTGATGAAGGAGTCAGGAGTGGGGGCTTTCGGCTTGCTTAGTATAGGTGACCCGACAAACACTGAAAGGAAGCTCCTGGGAGGAAGGAAGGTGGAGATCGGCGTGTCTGACCAGACCTGCCAACACCACCGTAGCTAGCAGCAGCCAGGCTGTAAGGCCCCATCGAACAAGCCTTGTGTTTGAAGCCCCACGTGTTCAGTTTGAAGCCCGGAGACTTGAGAGCCAGTTACCCGGACAGCCCAGGAGGGGCAGGTCATCATGCTTGTTAAAAAGGGGCTGAGGTCTATCTATCTGAGGGAAGGGGATGTGGGTGGGTATCTTTTTTCCTTGCCTCCTGTAACGAAAGCTATTGTAGCTTTCCCCCAGGACACAGTGGAAAGATGTGCCAGAAAACAGTTTAAGAAAGACACAGAATATATCTGGTATTTTTTCCTAGCGGTCATTTCCACATGTTTAAAGACAGCTGGTGGCTATAATTTAAGGGGACAATCTTAAGGAAAGAGAAATGAAACTGTTTTCTACACTTGCTGACTAGGTTCAGTGTTAATTTGGGTAATTCCATTGAATAATGAAATGCTGATATTAATTCAGTTATTTTTCACCATGCTTCACTGGCAACTCCTTGAACTATGTAATGTTCAAAGGAGGAATGATGACCGTGGTTTACTGCCTGTGATGTGAGCCAAAAAACAGTTTTACTTTGGCAGCTGAAGGGCCATCCAACAAGAGACAGGTTTAGTTAATACTAATCTTGGTAAGATTTAAGCCAAGGTCTCAGAGCTCTTGGATGGGTTTTCCTGTCTGACTAGTTACTGCCTAAAGAGCTATCAACACCACAGCTTATATAGCCCAGATTGAAACCACAGATCTGAACATCTGAGGCTTCGCAGTTGTTCAGATCTAAATCCAGATCATAAACCTGCAGCAGAGGTCTACCTCTAAGCCAGTCCTGTCCTTTATGGCCCAACACACAAACCACAGTGATATTTTTTAGGTGTAATTTACTCTGGGGGCCCAGCTCACAACTGTGTCAGTCCAGTTTTATAGCAGTGTAAAATGAGAGTGAACCAGTAATGAATCAGATTGTCTATTACTCTATTCTGTTTGAATCATGCTGCTCCTAATAATGTCTTACTATTTAGTTGGAGAGAACCCAACCAGTTAGAGGCATTTCAGTGAGTTAGCTCCATGGACTCAGTCTCTCTCATTTCACTTGAAATTAGACAGCAAATGCTTCACACCAGAAGCTATGTCTACTAATTGTGAAGCACTTCCAGATACTGTAAAATAAGGCCGGCCAAACTTCACACTTGCATGCTTCATGTTTACTCTTAAACCGGAGTGTAAGATACAAGGTAAATGCCATAAGACATACTTAGCTGCCATTCCTCAGAAAATCACATAAAGAGGTCTGTTGTGCGTTGCATTGGAGCAATGAGCAGCATAACTACAGTTTTTTTCTTATGTGAACAGTACAGAGCTCTGCTGGAAATAAACCAGAGCCTGCAGGCTGGGCTGTGCCTTGACAGCCCGGGATCCAACTTCCTCACCTGGAAAGCAATACTTTAGACCTCTCTCATCTGACCCCAGCTTCTAACATAACCCACATCTCTTTGCATGACTTTCCAGTTGAATGTTTTGTGCTACTTTTCAGAAAGTAGGTGCATAGAACGGTCTCTTCCAGCGCTCCTACTGATCCCACAGTAAAACATACCCCAACAGATGAATCAGGTACCTTGTTTTGCCCCATTTACTTTGAATACCAGTTTTGACACAGCAGGGTTTCTGGGTGAAAAAGCCTAATAACTTGTCCAGTTGTACTAGAAAGTTGTTCTGCATCAAGGCTAATCCTCTGAGGTACCTTCATCCCTCAGAGTGCTTTCTGCTGCTATCAGTTGGTCCAGCTGCTGTTGACACCCTCCTGGGACAGTGGACCTAAATCAAGCCTGCCATTGTGACTTTTGTGATGGGGGTTCTGCCCAAAAAAAGATCTGTTTTCCTCTCTTGGGCTTGAGTGTCAAAAGTATCCAGGCAAAGAGGAACTCACAATGTATCTTAAAAGGTTTTAAGTTTCATTAAAAAAGTATAGCTTCCACCTGAGTGCTGTTGGGACCTGAATCTCAGTGAGACATTTTCCTGAAGGTGAATGGGAGTCCCTGTCAGCAGTGTCTTTGCCATGTCAGAATTGCTGTCCTGTTCATTGCTGCATGTGACAATCCCTTATTTTTCACAAATTGGGTTAAATCACTATGTCTTATATCAGTCACAGCCCTGACTTTTTGAAATGCCAATTTATGATGGACAGCCTATGAAACTGCTCCAAATTACAGGGAAGGTATTTCTGTATATCATTACCCTTTTACATTTTTCTGAAGATTAGATATCTGTATTGCAAGTCTTTGCCAATCTCCATGGCAACTAAACACTCGCCACCTAGGTTATGTATTCAAGTACAGTTATTTTCAATTCTTTTCCAATTAAGATTCCACAACAGCCTTATTTTTTTGCTATAACCACAGTACTAGCAACAAGGCATTGTAGTATTATGGCACAAAATATAGGTGCTTATAGCTGTACTGAATGTTCCTGATTGGAAGCTGCCTTATAGTAAAAGGACTCCATCAGATCTTCACTTTTCTTAATTACCTCTGGATTCTTGTGCCTGCAAATACAAACACTGCCAAGTCGTGACAGTATCCTTGTCTCCATCCTGCTGAAAATGGAAATAATTATCCCATATGAAACTGTGATATAACAACATTGTTGATTACAGAAAATTAGCAAACCAAGGACAACATAGATTCATTACAATGTAAAAATCATCAGGAAAATTTGCCTCTCCATACAAAAGTATATTAATGTGAAATATTATAAACTATAATAAACTATTATAATTGTGCTAATTTTAAATTTATATTCCCAGAAGTGTATCTATAGTATTCATTTATTTGTATTTGTTATTAAATCATTCAGACTATGGATTCTCTTAAATGATAAGCAGCTTTGTGTCTGAATAGTGTCTAGCATCCTAGGGCCTCAGTCCATGAATAGAAGCACTAAGTAAAATGGTAATAAACATAGCAATATTAAAATTATATCCCTTACATGAGCTTCTGCTGAGTAGCTAAATGTTTAACAACCACTGTAAAATCTGTATGATGATTTGCTTGACAATACAAAAATGCTGAAATAACAACAGGCCACATTCAGCCAATTCTGTAATTCCTTGAAGAAGTTCTTGCTGCTGGAGATTGAATGAATTAGGAAACTGAACGACTGCTACTCAGGAAATGGAAAGATTTTAAAATGTGTTTTCTAATCTAGGCGAAGCAGATATATAGGCACAGTCTTTGCACCTCTACAACGGGCATTTGAAGGCCTTTTCTGGAAAACATGCATCCTCATGACAGTATAGTGTGTCCTGTGTCTCTGAACCAAGACTGGTACATCAGAAAACACTTTTTGTCATGAATGCGATTTGTAGATCCTTTATTTACATTTATGAAACAGCCATTTGATGAGGGAGGGTTTATAATTTTCATACACAGTTTCTGTGAGGATGAATAGGAAGTAGTTTTCATTCTTAAAGGCTTGAGTTGCCAAAGCAACATCTAATTCACTGTAATTTTGATGGAAGTTGTTTCAGTGTCATGGGTGAAATTTTGGCCCCATGGAAAACTGAGGCGCCATGGGCCCCAGCTGGCACTCTGGAGCATCTCTAGGAACGCCATACAGCGACTCATGCAGCCAGGTGTCTTGCAGTAGATTGTGTCAGTACCTCTAAAGCAGGTAGCAGAAAATGGCACAGAGAGAATCTACCCAGTTGGGAGCCTCATTCATCAGTGATTCGTTTTCATTGGAAAAAGCAACCTGTACAAACTTTATAGGGAAAATAGATTTACTTTCCTAAATGTATCTTTATTTGTTTTCATTGCCCGTGTAAGGATGCATTTCTTTCCTGTACAGGCTCCATTCATTAGGTTCCTGGTCAGGCAGTCTACAGGTATACTGATCTGTTGTGCAGATGAGTTATTTTACTTGTTAGTCTTAAAGGTACTGCATTTCACTTTGCTCTTTTCCCTGTTACTTGAGAAAGTGTGGAAATTGGTGGAGGCTGACTGACCTGCTTTATACCCCTCTCTGCTTTGTTTAATTGTCTTTTCAGTTTTTCTTTACCTTCTGGACCATTTCTGTTTGGGGTCTGTGTTTTGAGGAAGCCCGAGCAGAAAAAAGTATCTCAGAACATAGCAAAACTTTACTGGTTTTATATTTAATTTTTATAGTGTCATTCCTATATATTCACTTTGTATTCCAGCCTTGGACACCTTAATACTTCCATTTCTTCCTTAGAAGTGAGCTGAGACCTTAAACTGCTTTCCATCCCTGAAGGTTACAACTTTGCTCTGAGAAAAAAGTAGCCACTTGTACCAGTGTTTCCAGTGTCTCAAGTGTCCCCCTCATTTGATCCCATGCAGGTGCCTACAGCAAGAATATGACTACAGTCTGCCTACTGCTAGTGTCATCATCTGTTTCCATGACGAAGCCTGGTCTACTCTGCTGAGAACTGTGCACAGCATTATGGACACAGCCCCAAAGGCCTCCCTTAAGGATATCATCCTAGTCGACGATCTCAGCCAGCAAGGTAGCCCCAATTTCTCTATACGTGAGCTCTTTTTTCCAAAGTTTCGGGGAAGAAACTGTCCTCCTCCTGGAGCTGGCTGCCAGGTTTCACTCTTCCATCCCTAGAATTCAGTTTAGCCTTTCAACTTTGACATATGTTTCTTTTTTCCCCATCATTTCCAATCACTCTGAAATTTCTTACTTTAAAATAAGATCACAGTATGCAAATCTTAGCCCTCCCACTGCACCAGATCTGCTGTAATAATTTCCAGACTTGGACTTTGGCTGAAGCATAGAGTGGAAAACTCCACATTGCTGAATTAATCCAAAGTGCTTGGGAAAGCCAAATACCTGTAGTATCTCACTCTGATCTGCGCCTTTTATGAGATGATGAGAGCATCCACCTTTTGCTGAGAACAGGAGAGGAGGCTATTAAATTTCCCACAAGAATAGCTTCACGCCTAGTGAATCTCAGTTTCCATTAGTCTCTGCTTCTCTTTGACATTATGCTGCTGTGGGAATATTTGGAACATGGCCTACTTGGCTAGGTAAAACAAATGCCCCCAAAACATTTTACCAGCAAGAAGTAGCATCTACTACTACCTGTTCCTTTTCTGTAACAGCTTGAATCAAAGCTAAAACATTTCAGTGACCGTTCTGTTTCTGACAGGGCCTCTGAAGTCAGCTCTGAGTGAATACATCTCTAAGCTGGATGGTGTGAAACTCATCCGGAGCAACAAGAGGCTTGGAGTCATCAGAGGTCGGATGCTAGGAGCTGCACGGGCAACCGGGGATGTGCTCGTCTTCATGGATTCACACTGCGAGTGTCAAAAGGGCTGGCTGGAACCCCTCCTAGCCAGGCTGTCCAGCAATCGGTAAATATCCCTGTGACCTCTGAGGTCCCTACATATGCTAACTTCTGCTGAAAGAGATGCACTTGGAAAGATCTGGTATTTTTTTTATCCTCTCTTGATTACCTTCTTCCTTCTGGTCACATTGCTTTTATTTTCTACCTTATCACCACATGCATCACTCTGATACGTGGGAAGCAGGATAGGTCACACAGCTGATAACCCTCCCTTCACACCCAGTATCACTGAACTGTCAGAGTTTGTATCCAGTTAGAGCTGTAAGAAGGCTTCCTGGTGGTGTGAATTAAAAAGGTTGCAGTCTCAAGCTGTTTGTAAATTGGCAAACATCCACCAGAGAAACTACTGCAAGACTCTGTTTTTACTTTTTAGCTGTCTCAGTGCTGAAGCTAAGGATAAAATGCTTTGTCCTCCTGAGCCAGTTTGGCTACATACCAATGTCACCTGTACCGCTGAGCTCACCTATGCAGTCCCCAAGTCCTTCAAAGAGATTAAATCACTGCAAATGTTTCAAAAATTACATAACAGTAAATCCTTTATTAAAGGGACTTTTCTGAAAGAAAATTTTGTACATTAACTTGTCTATCATTGCCCATAAGCCACTTGGGAAAAAATGAATAATTGCTAGAGGGGGTACAAGAAAAAAAAACCTTTAAAACTCTTACCAGACCATTAAATAGTCACACTAAAGACCTTCAAAGGCTGTTCCCAGGCACTGGAACAAGCTGCTTTTATGGCTGATTATGTTTGCTTATAAGAGAATTAATGTGAGTTTTTAGAAAGTATTACATCATTCAGATGAAAACATTAAGAATACTGAAAGCAAGAGTAATGCTGCCCTAGGATGTCAGGAATATTCTTTTCTAAAAGGTCCTCCTTGAAAAGCAGATTATTTTTTGTCTGCTGACTTTTTAGATGGTTTATTATGAATATACTTCATGATTCTTCTGCCTTGAGCTATAGTCTATTGTTGATGTTCATGCAAAACTCCTATCTGTATCGATTGGCCAGTCCTTATTCAAGGCTGTATTGCTGAAACTAAAAAAGTTACAGAAAGTCTCAGAGGAGAGCTATAGTGAAGGGAGAATTACAATGGCAAGAGAAAAATTAGGATCCCACCACAAGTGTAGTGATTCACCATCAAAAATTATTCCTGCTGAGAGAATGCAAAGCCACCGACCCTACCATCACTCTGAGATTTCTGTAGCACTGTCATCAGGGGGTGAGAAAGGGATTCTCTTCCTCTCTAGGGCCCATGTGCTCATTCGTTCTTCTAGGAGGGCGGAATTTAACACTGAGTAAGCAAATGGCTAATTGGATCAATGGAGCAAAGGTGGAAGAGTGTTTGGATAATAGTATGGGCTAAGCCATCCCTTTCTGTATGCTGTACCAGTCACTATGTCTGACTCTGCAAGCTTGGTCACTGCTAGTGTGGAGAACCTGTGCCATTCTTCAGTGCACAGGGAAGAAATGCTCTAAGGCATCTGGCAATCACTTTCCCTCACTGTCCCTCTTTCCCTAGCTGAAGAATGATGATAATAACACTGACCTGATAAGGAAGTTCATTCATGATTTTTCCTAAATTGCTTGTAATGCTTGCATCGAGATCACTATGGAAATGTAAAGCATTAGCATAGTCAACTTGGCTTCATTTAGCAGCTGAGGAGCTGTTAAATTGAATCATGTGCACTCCCTGAGACTACCCAAATGAGGAACGTACAGTGAAAAGAAGCTTACAGTGACTGGTGAAATATCCATCTTTCCTCTTCTTAATGTACCAATCAAGCTGCAACTCATGCACTTTTGCTGGAGAGACAAGATGGGAAAACAATCACCTGGACTAAGTGAGTGAGTTGCTTGCTGGCAAGAAAAAAATGCAGCTTTTCCAAAGCTCAAAACTTTGCAGGAGCTTAATGGAGCTTGAGGGAGATTTTAACTTTGAAAATTGTGATTAAGCCTAATTTTCTAGGCTCCTGATCAGATCTACCACTATTATTGTGACCTGTCTTAGAGCAATGTCGAGACATCCTTGCCCAAACTGAGACCTCACTGTGATTTGAACATACTCACAAAAAGGGAGACACCCCCAATTTTTAGTAGCCTGTAGTAATGATGGACAGGACAAACATGAGAAAAATTATCTGAATTTTACAGGTATGGTAGTATTTGACAGATATTTGACTTGCTCTGGGTGATGACATTTCATCTCCCTACATCATGGTTTTATTCACTAATCCAATCAAAACTATTTTCCCCAAAAGTATTAAGTCTTTCTAAAATCATTACACATGCACTTATGGGCACCTTGACTGGGACTAGTTCTGTGAACCATACCTAACAAATTGCCTGGGAAGCTGTGCATCAGCTTAGTATATTGCCTAGAGAATGGTTCAGTGGTTTGTAAAGCATCCCTTGACATTTTGATTATTCAAGGATGAATACCATAGGCACCTGGACAGCATTAGAAAACTAGATGAGATGCCCCACAGATCATTTCATTTGACAACTGTTTGTGTTCCAGGCTAATTCCAGGTGAGTAGCATGGTGCATAGTAATGCAGCTGTGCCATTATTACAGGCATCTTTTGAAGGGTTTGTCATTTCCAGGAGACTGCAGAAGACAGCTGCTATTTTGTATTCAGTCCAAAGGCAGAGAAAGGCAGAGGGGGCATATAATGAACGGTGCCATGAAGCCTTGAAAATGTTGTTCCTTTAACCTAAAAACAGCGACCATCATGCTGAAGCAGGATGATTTTTTAAAAAAAGATCCAAAGTGTGGTTCCTGAGAATACTGCATGAAAGCAGAATGAGCCTTGATTATCTCCTTGACAAGGAATTCCACCTCTATAAAAGGCATGGGCACTATAACTGTGGCAGACGGGTGGCTTGCAAAGGGGTAACTTGCCCTTAGGACCTTTCCCCTGCTCCTCATTGCTAGGGCTGTTTCCCTCTATTGCTGGTGCACTCCTATACCAGATCTGAAATATTACATTAGGAAACGGAAGCCTGTGATATTATTACAAGAAGCCTATCTAGTTTCTAAAATTCAAAGTGCCTCTACTTAGGTCCGTGATTCTATGTCACTAATCTTTAATGAAAATGCTGTTAAAGAGAATGAGAAATGAAGATAGCAGTGGAAAGGTATCTCATTTGCTGTTTGCTCCCATTCAATCCTGAATGGGAGCGTCTGCTTGTAGATACAGGAATAGAAACAGAGTTCTGCTGTCCAGAAAATTTCTTTGTGGTTCTAGTTTTATGGTAATACACTAGAGAGAAGGGAAATGTTTTGCACTAAAGTTGACCAGCTTCCTCATCTCTTTTCATCTGATTCTCCACTTCTCAGTGGCCCATACCCCAGCTTTTCAAGCTACCAAATACATAAGCCGTCTATTTTCTACCTTATCACAGCCTCAGGGAAGCATGTTATCCATCCAGAGCCCACACAACCCGAGCACCCGAACATGTATTTCTGTGCTACTCTTCTTGTTCTGAAAACCTTCCATATACTTCACATATAACAGCCTGCTTCCTGGGACTTTGCATTTTGCCTGATCATTTTATATACTCCATTTGTCAATAACACTCATTTCAAATTCAGTAAATTAATGTTCTGCATTTACATGGTATGTTATGTGAAGAAATGCTATCTCTTTACAATCTTTCACGGTTGATCAGGATCAGTAGGTGACCTATTTTAAAGAAGTTGAGGTAAAGAAACTGAAGATGAGAATCTAAAGCCAAAAGCAAGCATTACTGCCAAAAGTAGGAGCAATGAGGATTTAGGCATGATTCATGGCACAGTGCCCTAACTGTCCAGTGTAAAAAGGTATTGGTCTCTCCTACAGATTTTGGTACACCACATACAATTGGAATATTTTAACAAAAAAGACAGGTTCAAAAGATTATTTTTTTAAATAAAGCATTCCCTTAGCACTCTACCTAGCAGAGATTTGAAGTATATGTTTAGTGCTTAGCAAATGAATAGTCTGTCAATTCAAGCAGACTGTTCATATGCCCTAAGCTAGTCTGGAGTAGGTCTGTAAGGTAAGTAATTCTTTATACCATAGCTTTACCATTCCTGATCACTGCATTTTATCTTTTTATTAACCCTATCTGATTTCAAGTGTTTTGCATTACTGTTTCCCTGAAGACTTCAGCCAGCCAGCAAGGTGCTTTCAGTGAAAATGCAGCATGCTGTGGAATCAGCTTGGGTTCTCAGTTACTCACTGAAGTTTTGACTCTGTGCAGAGCCAGAGAACTTGGACTGCCTGGATTTCCTAGCTGTCTAATTTTTGCAGGGAATGATCCACTCTGAAACTGGTTGAGGAAAATATATCATTTTCATGTTTGTTTTTTTTTTATTCCTTCTTATTTAAAGGGAGATTTAAACAGATTAAAATCTGTTCCCTTCTCAGCAAAAGAAAGTATAAATCAATGAAAAGCACTTTCAAAAAACAGTGTATCTAAAACTTCAAAACAGATGTGTTAATTAAATCGTCCTCTCCTCATGTTACTTATTCTAAAAATAGAAAAGAACATAATGTCCATGGTCACTGTAAAGGGTCATGGGAAGACATTTCATTTGCAATCGTATTTGGTTGAGAAATCCCAAACCAGGAAAGTGTTCTTGTTTGGGTTGCTCTTTTTCATGGAATTGTGACCTTTTGTAGTTCATGTGTGTTCCAAGCATTTGAAGTATTCACAAATTAGTCAAATGGTTCAAAGCCTTGCTGCTAGTTGTATTTGAATTTCTTGGTTTTTCCTTTCCTTGGATTCCACAGAGTAAAATTAGCAGTAGTTTGCCAGTGTGTGTTTCATTTCAAAGTGCCGAGAAGCTGCTGACTGTCTGCCAGTTACCCAGTTAAAAAGAATAGCTAAGAACGCCTTCCAACTTTCAGTTACCTTCTGCTGCAAATTTGCATTTAGAATCACACAAACATCAAACCATGACCGAATATGCAGAAAACAGATCTTTTATAAAAAAAGCATTAATACGAAAAGATAGGTAAAGCACTGCTTGATTAAGATTAAAATTGGACATTGACCAGTTTTCACACAAGATAAAGTTATTGGATTCCTCTATTTGAGATCAGAAGACACTCCCAATATATAACGTTTTAAGAATGTATGTTTCTATTGGTTTCAGCAGAGCTACACCAGTTTATACTAGATGAAGATCTAGCATTACACTTACAAACATACACTTGAAAACTGTTAATCTTGGCATTCTGAAAGAACTACTAGACTAATAGTTCTGAAGCACAGTTATCAGTTTGTACTGTACAATTTTGTGGGAAAGGAGATTAGATTTTATGTCTTTCTGGTTTATTGTTGAATTTAGCCAGGGTAGAATGTGACCTATCCAGTGAGTTATTTTCAGCTGTCTTAAACACTGTAATTTTCCATGTCATAATTTGCTGATAGTTTGGATAATTGCTTGGTTTCCAAACCATCAGAATCCATTACATCAATGCAGGTATTTTTCTTGAATGGCATTGAAGAATCAATGCCCAATGACAAGCAAAGCAAAAGCATGCATTAAAAATAAAGGATTATTTCAACAAGAACTACTACTGTGGTGCTTACTTACTGTTATGAGCAATTGCACTGATGCTAGAAGCATTTTGAGTTTTATAATGGCAACAAATTTAGGGTGGATCCAAAAGGACAGATTTTAAATGGCTGAAATGATATGAAAATGTAGGATAGTCTGAAATGTCTGGATTATCTGATCCAGAATATATCTGAGCATAACCGAGTATCTGCATTGTCTCCATCTGAACTATCTTGGATATGCACGTGTGGTCTAATCTTCATGGTCAAGGTTTTTTGAATGGTTTAGTCTACATTGCCTCCTCTGGCTTCCACTCAGATACACCTTCCTGATATTTCCCTCTTAACTCTGAATTACCCTGGGGTCATTAGTTCCTCAGCCCTGTCTGGATGAGAAAGGATAAACAAATAGCAATAGATAGCATGCATTTCAGCAAGTAGCAACAAACTGAGATGGGAAGTATACAACTCCAACTACGCTCCTAATGAGTTGTCAGAGATACTGGTACACTGGTACACTGGAGAATGCAGCAAGCTGTAAAAGTTACAATTACAGTGACTTTTCATTTTCTGAAGTTTAGTCTTATAAAAAATCCATTTAACTTGTTAGATGGATTTTTCTCAGCATATCAAAGAAAAAACACCTGCTTGTGTGAGTCCATCAGGACACTACATTTTAGTAACTTCTAGAAGCAGTTAGTTTCCTTTTCATGCTGTTTGTGAGTAAAGGTTAAATACAGCTTTCAGTAGAAAGGCTCCTGCTGGCTTGAGTTTGAGGTGGTTGTTCCTGTCCTGGATACGAAACTGTATCACAAGGGTATCATCAAGAGAATCAGGGGAGGATATCAGCTTTATTATTTTTAGTATAGTTTCTTCCCATTTATTCTTGAGTCCTGTGGGAGTGTGACAGCAAATCACTGCCTTAATGTATATGCCTACAAATGTTGCAGGTGACCATAAAACTTCCTCATGTATTTACAAACCCAATGCTTGTTTCTAAGAGTACCTATTACTACATATTAAAAAGGCTGGTTTTACACCTGAATGGAGAAATATAATCACTTCTCTATTTTAAATCTTTCTGCCTTTAGCTCATCATAGGACAGTCTGCTCTTGTTAGGAAACAGAGGAATAACTGAGTCATTTTAGCAGTATCCTCTGCATAGTTCACCTTCATACAATTCACTGATGATCAGTAGTCTCTGTTTTTCCATGGGCATCTAAAATTCTCTACAGGAAATGATAACTGTGATAAAACAAAATCTGGAGTTTCCCCCCACCCCAATACTGGAAAAACATTACTCTAGTGATTGTAAACGCAGAGAAGATACATCAAGATTACATTGACATCACCCAGAGCTACCATCTTCCTCAGTTGGTTCTGGTCTCTGCCATGAAAAAGCACAAAGGGCTCACTGCGTTGGAGACTCCTGAATGACCTTTCGTCATTGATAGTATTATATTTTAAGCATCTTTCTCTCGAGGGTGATCTCTGACCTACGTATAAATCTTTAAAAGAGGAGATAAAAGTCTTCTACTTTTTGCCCCCTAATTGACCATTGCATTTCTCTCCCTCAGTTTTAACAGGAAGTTATTTTCTAGGGAAAGAGCTACTCCAGAATAATTTCCTATATGGATACTCTTACTCTAGAACAAGAGTAATTTCTCCCAGTGTATTTTAATCCTTAGTAAATGTTACTGATTTTTCTCCAGAGGACCTTCTGTCTATAGGCAAGCCCTTACACTGAGACCAGAGGTTATCCCTTTTGCATAACAGAGAAGAAATGGATAGTGTTGTTCTTCAATGCTTTTTTTCCTGCAGTCCCTAATACCATTGCATTTATACTCTGAAAATTTTGAAATGTGATATATCATTGACGTGGAAACAAGGAACACTGATGGCTCTTCTGAACTACTAGTTAGTTCCAAGATGATGTACAAACACACTGTGAAATACTGTGACATGTTTGCCATGGGGAAATGTCTAATACCTCTTCTCAGAGTAATCCAAATTTAACTCAAGTTAGAAATTAATCGGAATATTGCTGCTTGTGGTGCAATGGCTCTGTTCTGGCTCTTAAAAGTAGGTTCCACACTCTGACAGTGCATTTGCAAGAGCATTTTAAGCTTGTGATAAAATACAAACAGAAACTTGCTTATGAACTCGGTGATAAATGCTTTTGCAAAACAACCAGCAGAGCAAAATAACGATAAGTGCACTCTTCATTGGCCTGAAGTAACAAACTTATGAAGTGTGTGGAACATTGTCATGGTTTAACCCCAGCCAGCAACTGAGCACCATGCAGCCACTCACTCTCTTCCCCCCACCCAGTGGGATGGGGGAGAGAACTGGAAAAAAAAAAAGGTAAAACTCGTGGGTTGAGATAAGAACAGTTTAATAGAACAGAAAGGAAGAAACTAATAATGATGATAATAATAATAAAATTACAATAATAATAAAAGTATTGGGATATACAAAACAAGTGATGCACAATGCAATTACTCACCACCTGCCGACTGATGCCCAGTTAGTTCCTGAGCAGTAATCCCCCGCAGGCCAACTCTGCCCAGTTTATATATTGGGCATGATGTCACATGGTATGGAATACCCCTTTGGCCAGTTTGGGTCACCTGCCCTGGCTGTGTCCCCTCGCAACTTCTTGTGCCCCTCCAGCCTTCTTGCTGTCTGGGCATGAGAAGCTGAAAAATCCTTGACTTAGTCTAAACAGTACTCAGCAACAACTGAAAACATCAGTGTGTTCTCAATATTCTTCTCATACTGAATGCAAGACATAACACTATACCAGCTACTAGGAAGAAAATTAACTCTATCCCAGCCAAAACCAGGACAAACATCTACAGGAAAATCAAAGGATGGTAAAGTGCATGAGGCCAAAATAACCTTTTGCTATAAACTTTGCATCCATGCAGTGCCTATAACATCAGAGGTTGGGGCCTCTGTGTGAAATAACTTTATAAGAATTCTGATGGTTAAGTCGTAGCAAAATCCTGAATAGCTTTAAATGACAATGCAAGGTACAGGTTATCAATAAATTATTGATTTTTAGATTCCTCACTGCAGGCTCAGTATTCCCATGCACTGAGCACCTGAGCTTCTATAAGCAGGGAAAATAAGGGCACTTAACATCTAGAGGAGTGCTTGTGCTTGACAGTGTCAAAAAGGAGAACCACTGTTTACTAACAGAGTAATGAACTTAATTTGTGCTTTGACTTTGAAAATAAATTATATTGTCTTTTCCAGAAACAGTGTCATCTCCCCTGTCATAGATGTCATAGACTGGAAGACTTTTCAGTACTATCACTCTGTGGGCCTGCATCGAGGTGTTTTTGATTGGAAACTAGATTTTCATTGGGAACCTGTGCCAGAGCATGAAGAGAAGGTACGACAGTCTCCCATCAGCCCTATCAGGTAACAGTCCATCAGCCAATATGCCTCTGCTCAGTTCAGCAGCAAAACTGTACAATTTGGGTCACCTTCCAGCTAACAGAAGAGAGACGTGGTTACTTGCATATGCTCAGTTCACATTTTTTGAATGGATAGGGTTTTGGTTTACACTGAGTTTGTTCAGCCTTTAGTAATTATTCTAACTAGATTGCAGTCATACTTTCAACATGACAAGTATTTTCCACACGTTGAGACAACTAGTATACAACCTGACCAGACAAGGTGTGGAGGTTTGTAGGGAAGGAAAAAGATGGATCATGTAGAGTTAAAAGAGATGTCTAAATCATTATCTGTTTGTCTGTTCATTTGGGTGTACATGTATGTAACATTTCCTACTGTTCTGAGCATTATTTAATAATTCAGCTCTTGGCTCCATTCCCCAAGAAATCCTAGAATTCAGTTGTCCTTTCTTTTGGTTAGATAACCAATTCATTCAAGCTTATGTGGAGCAGTATTCAATCATTTTGCAATACTATCTCTATGGAAATGGCAGGATTTTCACCCTTCACATAATTCCCTATCCAAAACTGAAGGCGTTCACTCCCAAACTGTTTTCTACACAGGAGTCCTGTGGTAGCTGGTGCAGTGGTGGCCATGGATCGACATTACTTCCAAAACACTGGAGCTTATGATTCTGACATGACCATGTGGGGAGCAGAAAATCTGGAGCTATCTATAAGGGTAAGAACCTTAATCAAACACCAAGCTCTGGCAACTATTGGGCTTTTAAGGAACCTGAATGAAAAGGCAAGAAGCAATTTATAAAAGCAGTTAAGTGCAGAATGTCTCAGGGTATGGAGAATATCACTTTCTTGCAGAAATCTATCCTCACACTCCATGATCTGTCAGGACTATACAAGAATATGCAGCTGCTGTGAGTTAGGAGCATTATGTCAAGAGAAGGAAGTTTCACTGGCTGTCACTATCTGCCGGAGGACAGTCACTGGTTTTGGCACCTTCTGAAAGCTGCCTCTTCTTTTTTGGCATGTAACATGCACCAAAGGGAGAGTAGCTTTATTTCTTTGCCAACCTGTAGTTTTAATACCAAATTGTTTACATTAAATTGATTGCATTGATTTTTGCTGAATACAAAGAGTAACTTACATTAAAAAGCAATGAAAATTGCAGACACAAATGGTATAGAGTGTTTAACATCCCAGACAAAAGAAGGTGTGCCCCCAGGCTTCTTTACTACACTGCACTCTTTGTGCACAGAAAATTATAAAAGCATATAAAAAGCCATACTGGGTCAAATCAAAGGTCTGTCTTGCCCAGTATCTTCTCTGTGTCTCTGTATCTGTGGGGAACAGTGTATGAAGAAGCACATAATAATGTTCTTCCTGTTTCCAGGAATGTGCAGATTAGGATTTTCTGAGGCAAAGTCTATAGTAAGAGAGCTTCTCCTTTTTAGATAAAGGTAATCTAAATAAGGTAATGTCCTTTTGTGCCTTCGCCTGTGTTTCAGACCTGGCTCTGTGGTGGCTCTGTAGAAATTATTCCATGCTCTCGAGTGGGGCATGTCTATCGAAATCACTTTCCGCGTGCTTTCTCCTATGAAGAGGCCATCATGAGGAACAAAATCCGAATAGCAGAGACCTGGCTGGGCTCTTTTAAAGAGAACTTCTACAAGCATGACACAGTGGCTTTCTTAATCAGCAAGGTAAAAACATCTGTAGTGGTTTTTTTCTGAGGGAAGGAGTGTGTGTTGAGGTAGGTGAGGGGAGTGGAGTAAGGGTGGAGGTGTCTGTGTGCAGTCAAACATACAACATACATGGTGCTGGGGACAGTCTTTTTATGAAACCATCCAGTGGAAGAGCTGTCAGATTGGGAAGGAAAGAGAGAACCTTGTGCCTAGGAGTTATTTGCTGAAGTTATCAGATCTCTTAGAGTATGACTTCTTCTCCAGATGACTCCTTCTTCAGCTTGCCCAACAAGCTGTGATTTATTTTTCCACCAGTAGTACATGGAGGGTTGCAGTGCATCTGAAGTGAATGCTAGTAGCACTGTGTGCTCAAAGGGCCCTCCTAGAGGAGTCATTCTTCATTACTGAAGGTTTTCCTCATGTGATTCATGAGGATATTCAGTAATATTCATGGGCACGAGGCAAACTGTGGTGTCTCTCCTACTGGAAGGGAAGATATCTGAATGGTCTAGCGACAAAAAAGGTGATTTTTTTCCTGAACTGACAGACATCCAGAAGCAACTGTCTGTAACTGAGAAAGTCAGATTTCAACATAGCCTTTATTTACAAGTTACTTTTTCATTAGAAACATCGTGCAGGCAGCAGTCCAACCTCCAGGGATTTGGATTCCCAGCAGCCTGTATGCTATAGAAAGCCTTGCAGCCAGGTGTGTGGCGTAGCCCTGGCATGCAGCCACACTTGAACCATCTGGAGACTACACACCATCTAACAGCTACAGAATGGCCACACTTGTTTGTAAGCCACTGTATAATCATTGCAGATCAGGATCGATCAAGGGACTGTATATCCCATGTATTACAAACCACTGGATATTTGTTTATTGGGAGTCATGCAGCTGTGGTTAATGTTGTTAAGTTGTTAATGTTGCTGCAGTTCTTGGGAATTCTCTGGCTCCAGTACCTTTTCTTGTAACAATATCCTCTCGTACAAGGCAGTGGACAAACTTGTGAGCAGTTTTGAATGAAAATGTGTCATTCATCTTCCTGTTCATTTAACAATGACATGCTTTTAAAAGCATGAGAAAAAGATTAACTGAAAACAGTTAGGCAGAGCATGGGTAGGTGCTGTGCAAAGTTTCCCATTCAGATTTGCTCTTGCATTTCAGTTCTGCATGCCTCCGTCATTGCAGTGCTGGCTGTCATCTAAGAAAGCCAGATCCAACAGGAGCTGCATTATAGTGGAGAGAGGAAAAGGGCTGTGTGTTGGCATGGCTTCTCTCCTCTCACCTAGTCTGACCTCCTTACACTCCGCCAGTGGATTTGCCTCTCCAGTCAGCCTACTATGCCCACTATGCTAATCCTAGAGTCTGAGGCTATCACATTCCTTTTTTCATTTTATTTTCACTTATTTAAAAAGCTTCTTCCTCCTTGTCTGTGTTGTAGGTTTGAATGCCACTGGCCAGAAGTTCATCAATTGGCTCACAAGGGTTGCAGCCATGTAATTGCAAGGAGGATGCTAGGCCAAGTCCTTTAAGATGGGCAGTTAGGTCTTTAAATCATTTAATAATTTCCTGAAGGCCTTTCTTGTCAACTCAGAAGCAATCTTCTGTACTAAAAACTACAGCCATCAATGATAGAGTTTGCTAGCTTTAAGCACCCTGACCTTTTGCCTGAGAGTTTAGTCTAGCAAGAATACTTTTAGTACTCCTAAGTATGATGCTCCTTCAAATGATCAATCTTACAATCTCTGTGCTCAGCATACCATGACATAAAAGGCCCTTTTCTCTGCTCCTTTCTTTCACAGCCAATATTTTCAGTATGTCAGTGCAGCGGGATGTTATTCAAAAGACACCAGCAAGCCATGACATTATTGCTGCTCAGCTGCAGATTGGCCCTGCGGGGATTTATTGCACTGAGAGAGTGAGCGGAGCCACCTATTGGCCACTGCCAAAATTTCCGTGAGCCTTGACCGCCGACATTGCCCACTGCAGAAAATAACTAGTGACCCCCGTTTAGGTTGCTTTAGAAGTCTTCCCGTCTTATGGTCTGAATCGCATCCTGCACAGGATGCCCGTGGTGTGGGTGTTCATGCAGATGAGTAAGGCTCTTCCCAGCTTTCTACTGTTTCAGCCACCATCTCTTTTTCTCCTTTTCTTGTGCAGCTTGTTTATTTAATTTACAAGCACAGTTTCCTTTCAGATTGGTTTACAGGGATAGTGACTTTCTTTACATTATTTACACCATTTATTCGGCTTCAAATGCAGATTGTAACTAGTATGACGGAATGAGATTTACTGCCATTGCCTTCTTCAGCCAAAGCAGAGTCTCATGAGAAACATCTCTTTTTAGGGGAGGCATTTTACTTCTCTATTTCCCTTTTCCAAGAAAACCTTTTGGGGACAGGTTTGTGTGGTGCTGAATTGCTGAACTTTGTTGTTATGCTTATTGAATCTGAGACTGATACTAAACTATGAGGTTCTCTTTAACATACTGCAACTGTTGAGCTTTGCCTGTGTAGCTTACAGTGGCTGGCAAACAGTGCCACATGGCATGATTGATCCCTGCCTTTAGAAACTGATACCTCTCCCTTGATGTCCAAGGCCCTTCATTTGTTAGTGTTTTCCAGGCATGTCGCAAAGTCTTTTTTTCTTTCTTATGGATGCAGAGAAGTAGCTGGTCTGAGGAAAAGTTATTTACAGGCTATGTACCAATTTTAATTTCTGACGTAGGAATCCAGACCAGTTTCCGGGAATCCAAAACTGCATTTTTAAAAAGTAGAAATGTGAAGGGGGAGATCTACTGCTGGCAAGAGAAAGAGGAGAGAGAGTCTTAAGGGTGGTGAGATATTTTTAGTATTTGGGCACTGAGAGATTTAGAAAAGTGTTTTGTGTTGTTCTGAAACTGAAGGATTAGACAGTTACCTGCTTAGAGTTTTTCAGAACCATATTAGACATCTTGAGTACTAAATACCCTCAAATATTCAGACTGTCAGTCCTTTGCAGTGCAGATGCCTGTGGCTGCACCAAGGATTGAAGGCACTTGTCTTTTTTCAGAACAGAGTTGCTACCAGGACGGGTAGGAGTTGATATTGTGTGTATATAATTCAAGAAAACACATAAATCATAGGAAAGGTTTTATGCCTTTATAGCTGCAAAACACATTCACTTACTAGATTTAGTAACTATCAGATAATAATGCGATAGACTATATTTTGGGCTAAATTCTGTCATCACTTACATCCTCTGATCATGGAGGACTGATAATAACTGGGTAATTTCGGCTGTTAAAAGCCAGGAAATTGAATTTTAATCAGCAGGGCAAATTCTATACTGAATGACAATTTAATGCAATCCCACTGATTTCAGTGCAACAAGTATGAAATTTGGCCCTGACTTTTTTAAATAAAAAGATGACAAAGTCTGACTTATCTTGCAGTATAATAATTTTTAGAAGAAATATTATTTTCACAGTTTATGCTACTTCTGAAACCTTTACTTCCATCACAATGCCAGACTAAATGCTGTTTTAGCACAAAGTTGGAGGAAGGCTATAGCTGGTCTTCCTCCTTTGCATACTCATGAGAGATATATATCAATATCTATAACATGCAGGATAGGGGAGGTGGTAGAAATAATTCCTGTGTAGTCATTTTCACTTCTAGCACCTCTAACACAAATACACTAGTAACCTTGTTGTCCCTATGCTTTCTCCATAAAGGCAGAGAAGCCAGACTGTGGTGAGCGTCTTCAGCTACAGAAGAGACTGGGCTGTAGAAATTTCCAATGGTTTGTGTCAAATGTGTACCCTGAACTCTCCCAACTTGAAGACACACCAAGATTCTCTGGCAAGGTAAGAGAAAACACACTATAAAGAATGATTAGTGGTTTTGCATTGTTCAAAGACCCCAGTATCGTTTCCATGTACTAAGTACTCAGTGAACATAGAGTAAGAGGCTGTTCCTGCTTTGAAACACTTATTGTCCAAACAGACAATGCAAGGATGGGAGGAGAAAGAAAAGGACAGAGGAAACAAACAGCTGGTCTAAATTCTTACATAAACAATGAAAGCCAGCCAGGAGCTGGACCCAGATTGTCTGACTCAGTTCGGTGTCACAGCTCAGTGGATCCTAACCTTACGTTCTTTAGGTGCCATTAGTAAAGGAATTGTGTTGCCTCATACAGATAGCAGCCGCAACAGCAGCAGAGATATCTCTGTGCTGACCCAAGTGCATGAAGAGAAAAAAGCATTTATTCAGTCTTGCACTTCTCCCAAGGGCAGAGGTGGTAGCAATAGCAGTTCCTTGGCTGACTGTGTACAGGAGGCAATATTCTCAATGTTGGTTTTTTTAAACATGTAAGTTGATAATTATCATTCATTAAAATGTGAATTTATTCCAGGCAGCCTTACTGGAAGGAATTTTCCCCCAACAAGGCAACAAGGTCCACTAATTAAGTCACACTCTGCTATATGTAGCCAGATTTTACTGTGTCCTTTTACTATTTTGTCTCTTCTTTATTATCAAATTTTGCTTGAGAAGGGTGGATCACAGGAATTGTTATTTTTTTCCTTCTGGAATATTTTGGCTTTTTTCTGACTACAGTGTCCAGTTGAAGTGCAATTTTCCATTACCATAAAAATTTTGACAGATTTCTTTTAACTACCATAACAGTTAAAACCAGAAGTGGGTATCTCTAACTTAAATAAAACTCACTGGGTAACACTGACCTTTGATGAGACTCTGCCTTTTATATTAGATCAGTTTGCAAGATCAATATGCAAGATCTAGTCTGAAAGAAAAAATTATTGCCTGAATTATGAGCAAAACCATACATCATAAAGGGATACAACCACAAAAAAGTTGGCTGAAATATATTTTCTTTGTATCTGATTGTGCTTTATTTCAGTATAAACCTTTACTTACAGCTTTACAATACTGGTGTTGGCTTCTGTGCAGATTACAGACCTGGAAGAGCCATTGCAGAAGGCTCTATCGAACTCTCCCCTTGCAGTGACAGTCTCACCCAGGTACTGTATACTTTAAGTATGTAGGCACTGTATTAGATCTAGGGAACCATCCAGAAGACAGTCACTCCAACATGTAAATGGCTGGCTTGACATTAATGGAAATACTGATGTGTTCAAAATTAGGCATGTGGTAAGGCAATGATGCCCACTCTTCTGCAGCTGTGTGTCATTTGAAAAATGACAATGTTCCATGTATCACTGAGGCCAGATACCCACACTCTGCTCCAGCAGACATCATTAAGTGCCTATTTGTTAGTATATTTGGTAGTGTTCGGAGAACTGAAAGCCTGGGAGTAAAAAATATATAACGATTCTAGAATAATGGGGATGGGTTTCCTCATTAGTGCCTAAACTGCAGTCAAAGGCAGGAGGGAAATTCATGTAGGCAGACTCCCAAGTTGGCATTAGACTAGAAAGTTCATGCATTAAGGGAAGCCAAACCAACACAGACCGACTGCAGATATTTACTCCAAGCCCCAAGCAAGTTTTGCTGCTCACACTGAGCTCAGGGTGAGCTGCAGGCACATTTCTAACTGCAATGTGTGCAGACACTGTCAGAAACACCCTTCTGTTCAAATATTTATTAAACTAGAAAATTTTATTATAGGATGGGTTTACTTCATACATAATTACAGTCCACAAAGCCTTTCCTTAGGTAAATAGTTACGCCAGAATTAGCTAGTGTGGGGGGATTGCTTTGCAGGGTCAAGGCTGTGAGGTCTCCATCACTCATGTCTGGGTTGCATCTTAACAAACATGTACAGGAAATTATTTTTTGAATTAACATTTAAAAATGAATTGGGATGTCCTTCCATCGTTCAAACAAAGCCTCCCTCTTCCAGCACTTTGAATATAACAGCATGAAGGAAATCCGGCTTGGTTCTGCCCCGTTGTTTTGCTTTGATGTCAGACACGGGAAGGTTATCCCTCAAAACTGTACAAAGGAGACAGACAACAGCCACCAGCACTGGGATGTCCAGGAGGTCAGTAGTGACTCTGCCATAAGGGGAAGGCAGCTGATGGAGACTGTGGGGTCACTGGGTGATTGACAGGATTCATGTGTGGGGAAGGGATGAGGTATTTGAAGGGCAAGTTTCACTCCTGTACCATTTTCACCCAGGAAATTCAGGATGCCTCTTGCCCATTTACACTGTCTGTGTGCAATAAATTTGGTTTAAAAATACAGGAATCCTACCTAAATTCATATGTCCTTGTCTTAAGTGTTTGTCTTACTAGCCTTATAGGAATAGAATCAGAATCAGTGGTTGTGAAAATAAATGCAAGGCAAATCCTTGCCCACTTCTTTTGGATAGAGGAAGGGTCTGGGAATCCTGAACCCTCCCAAATGAGAGCCCTTTGGGAGTAGGGGAAACATTAAAATTCCTCCTGCATTGTAAGAGAAGAGCAAACTTCCTATTAGAGGAATTCGGTATTATTCAGTAGACCTCACCCAGCAGAGCAGGAACTCCTCTACAAGACTGAAAAATGTCATGTTCTAGGACAGTCTGGGAAAATAGCAGTTACTGTAGTTGTAGGGATGCTGCAATCCTCTGGTACAGTTCCTACTGTAATTCGTTTTGATTCCTAAGGGAAGCACTGGTCCTTTTGAAATTTTGTGGCCTGTAGTACTGTAGTTGATGCTGATGACAACCTGTACCCATAGGAAACAAATAGTGGTGGAAAAGAGATCTATTGAATTCCACACCTATGACTCCTGTCAGCTGCGAAAGGAATTACGAATACTCACCATGCCCTAGACTCAAAGCTAAATGTAGTCGTTATGTTTAGAGCAATACTTAAAAAATTTTGAACAACTAGTCATTACTGGTGATCTATTGTATGTAAAAAGTTTCAGAAACATGGCCTAGCTTTTACTGGAAATCCCTTACTTTTAATTTGTTCTTTCTTCTTCTCTCACCTTGTAGAATGGCATGATTGTCCATGTCCTTTCTGGCAAATGCATAGAGGCAGTGAAGAGTGAAGATGAGAAGGACTTGTTTTTGTGTGTATGCAACAAGAATGCAAATCAGGTGTGGCAATTTGAACGTTCCCATGGGCTACATCAGAGATGACTGACGGGTCTCTGTGGAGGTCAAGTCTCCAAAAGTTAACATTACTTCTGTTTGGGATTTAAGATACATTTCCTGCATGGACAAGAAAGATGTTTGTGTTTGCTACAGCATGCAGGGAAGTTAGGAAGGTCTCTCCTTTGAAAGCCTGCTCAAATAGTTGACGCCAGTTCCTGGTTTATTCAGCTCTAGCTAAAATTTCTATTTATTATGTGAAGCAGGGAATAAAGATACTGTGAGCATCAATAGATTCTCAACTCTGCTATTGCAGAAAACAGTTAGGTTTGCCTTTGAAAGAAACATGGAAAATTGGCTGCCAGACAGCTTGTCTTTAGCATATTCTGTGATTTCTGAGGATACAGGAAAACAAATATTTGTGAAACTTTTTAAACTGTAAGAGGAAGACAGCCAAACCAGCATAAGAGTTTAGCTTTGTTTTACAGTGCACTTGACTCATATAAAACAAAGTAGGGTTTTTATGCATAAAAGTAGTATATGTTTTCATGTGTAATAGCTAAAATTTTGTTTTCCAATTAGCCTGAACCAAATTTCTACCCTCTATGAAATTGCACAGAGCATAAATTAGCACTTAATTAGGTACTAACTGCTCTAATTGACTTGGAATACCAAGAGTCCTCAATGTTTGGCACAGTCCTTCATCCACAGTCTAGTTTGGATGGGTGAATGAGGCTGAAATACTAACCTTTTTTTTGTTTTAATGAAATTTAAGGACAACTCTTCAGGAAACTTTGGTGGAATATGGAAGAAGATTGAACTAGATTAGAAAGAAGTGTAACAACTTCCCTGCTTGTTTTGAAATGGAAAGTATCAGTGGCATCGATTTGCTCTTATAAAGCTATGGGATGAGCTTATTCTTATTCCAGTGACAAAACTGCTGGCTGAAAACAGCAAATGAAGGGAAACAGCAGGTTTCAACTAGGAAGAAAACACTGGCACCTACTTGCACTTGCTTGCAGCCTGAGTTAAGTCTTTCACACTGTGAAAGTGAGTAAGTCTTTCACACTGCCAGTTTTAGCCCAAGACCTTTTAGATTCTTGCCGCTGTGGGTCTCCAAGCCTATCCGCAAAAGACAGTAGCATACAAAATTTTCTAAACAAGCTTCTTCTGCAGAGCCTGCATCCCTGCTGACTTCCTGTCTTTCAAAGAAGTGAATGAGAGTTGATGTTAGGTAATGAGAATGGTCTCATACAGTATGCACTAGCAAAGCAAACTTCTATCAGTATTTTGTTAGGGCGCTTTCAATTTTGGAGTTAGAACCAATAATGATGACACTTTCCAAGAGCCTGCTAAGACAGAAGGACAAAGATTTGGGAGTCTTCCCACATCAGCACCACACCTGATTTATAGTATAAATCAGTCATAACCATATGTATTTATTAAAGGGGAAGGGCATCATTAATGAAACTTAATTTAGTTTTGAGATTTTTTTTCAAGAGACAGGAAATTGGTTTTTTTCTTGTAAAATGTACAGCACATTGTTTGAACTTTAGAGAAAGGAGGGAATAACAGAATATTCTGCTCAGAACCTTCCAGTCACCTGCTCTTAGTAAATCATAATAAATTGGTTTCAAGCATATAAAATTGGTTACAACAGAAGACATGAACAGCATTCTGTGTTGTGTAGTCCAAAACATTTCCCTGTGGGGGTCTCTGCTTTGAGTGCTACAGATTCCACAGCAGGTTCAGGCATCACTCCAATCACCCTAATTACTACTCACTCTTTCTTTGATAGTATCAGAATCTTAATACCATTTGCTGCTGTATCATTTAAAATCTCCTGTGACATTCTTGAAAATGCTTCAACTTTCAGCTGAAAGGATGGCAGCAACTTCTTCGAGAGCACCAAGTGATCCCTGATCATTGCCCAAATCTAGGGTGAGGAAAGAGAATTTCTAATTGCATAAAAGCTGAGTGAAATGCTGTTTTAATGACATGTGATTCCTTTATTTTAAATTATAAGTACGCCAGATTTTTTAATTATGTATTATTTATTACATTTTGGACTCTACAGTAGGAATATAATTCCTTCAGCATTTAGCTTAATGTTAAAAAAATGTGTATACGAATATGATAATTGATCACGAGTGGGATTTATCACAAAGAAGAATGAAAATATTTTTGGTTTAGAGAGGAAATGTTTGGAATTAAACTTAAGAGATATGGACATCCTCATCTTAACACTGCTTTTTAACATAATGATAAAAACCTAGAAAATAAGGTTTGCTGTGGATATATGTACAATAGAAAAATGTTACATAATATGTCTTTCAAGAATAAAATGAAAATATATGGTTCAGTACCATTTAAAAAATAATTGTTATTACACTTGTTTCTTTTAGTAACAGTGTAAACCTGTGTTTGGTTTCCAAGGGAACTAAACTCCAGAGCACAGGCCAGAAGGGAGCTGCAGTGTGGTCTAGGAGATCTCCGTGTGGGGACAGCCAGGGGACACAGATTGTGGGCCATACCATGGAGCATGCTTCCCTCTAATATAAATGTAACTTGTTATTACACAAAAAAAACAAAGGGAAAACATCTATCCCATTTTTCCTAGTTTCCTTCCTGTATGCCTTTAAGTGGATTGGTTGGTTGTACCAATGCTGTTTCCCCATTGTGGTCATTTACACATTGCCCCTGTGGTTAGACCCATCCACTATACCCTTCTCCTCAAATGGGTTTTACAGGGGGCTCAACAAAGGGTCTCTGCTAAGGGTGCTAGTGTGTTTTCCTCATTCTCGCCCATCTTTCAGACAACACAAGCAGACAGAGATGCTTTGAGCATCACAAAACATGGAATTGCTTTTAGCTCTGTATTTAGACAGGGACAACATTTCAGGTACCTCTAATTCCCACTGACAGGAAAGAAATGTAAGAACAAAATGATTCAGGCAAGAATGGAGTAGCAGTTTTAACTTTGAAGGTCTCCAAAGCAGAGCCTTGGGCAAGAGCAAAGGAATTCCAGCATAACACGAGTAAACATCTTAGAGTCTAACTCCACCTGTTTCTTTGAATTTGGCTACCCAGGCATAATGAATGCTTTGAGCCAAACCCACCCAGGAACATGAGCTAAAAGGTCACATTCAAGAACAGGTCACCTTTTGGTTGACTACACTTACTAAATAGCCTGGTTTATTCCTCTTCCAGCTAACTGGAAACAGAAGAACATAAAGGCTTGAAGTAGTATTCAACTTTTAAACCTAGACCCAGTTGATTCAGTCGCTATTGGCTGAAGCCTGGGGTTTGTCCTGTTAGGTGAGGTGTCATCGCTAACACAGAGAAACAGAATGGCAGCATTTTTCTCCGTGTGTTAACCTGAAGTTTGAACAGGGGGAAGGTGAGAGCAACCTTTATGCTAAATCCTGTAGCACAGAAATATTCAGGGTATCTCTCAGTCCACATGTAAGTGCCTTCAGGTCCTCCCTTAGAGATATCGATTGAGCTGTAATACTGTCTGCTTACTAAAATGCAGTAGCTTTGATTACAGATTTCCCTAGGAAGGAGTGGGGCTATGCTGAGGCAACCAAGACAAGAACAGTAACAGCCTAGATTTTCCTAACAGCTGGAAGGTGACATGTGAGTGAAGAGCTTTCAGATTCTGCCTTTGTATCTCATTTTATCTCCAGCAGTTTGATTCAAATTATGAACGTATTAGAAGAGAGTGTTTTGCAAATATTAGTAACTTCTTGGCTCATGTTTTTAAGCTATGCAAACTGCACACTTCTCCCCTGAATAAAGTATATCAGTGCACAGTGAAATGTATTTTTATTCCTCTTCACTGTGATATGATTGGCTAATACCTCTTTTTCCTCATGCTGCATAATAGCTGGTCTGCAAAGAACCCTGCCGGAAAGCCTCCAGTGGCAATAGCTTTATTTATCTGTCACCTAACGGTCTTACAGAAATGTACAGGAGGACTCTGCCTCCACTAACACCTTAGAGGGAGTTTGATTCTATAGACCTTTGCCATAATTTCTATCAGTTTCAGTGAAAAGGTCTGAATAGGGGCTACAGAAGTAGAGTCCCTGGAAAGCATGATTTCTGGCACACCCTTCAGACAGCTCACAGCTGTTTCTTCACCAGGTGGCTTGAAAGGATGTACTAGAAAAACAGTCTGGCTACATGACTTGGGATAGCAGGCATAGCGTTTTTGCTGTCTTTCTAGCTGCAACTGATGTTTTTTTGTAAAATAGCTGTCCCACATGGGGATTATTATGCATTAGACACATGGGATGGGATTCACCTCTGTTAACTGCAGCCACCTAAACAGTAGTCGCAACTAAGCTAATTGTCTAGGCTTCTTCTACTGGTCAGCAGAGAACTCTTCCAGAGGTATCGTCTTCCTTTTCAAAGACAAGTATTTAAACAGGATGGCTGAATCACTGTCTAGAGGTGCTTGCTTTCTCTACTTACTAGAGAGGGAGTCTTAATGATTAATTAGATGGCATGTGTAGCTTTTAAACTGGAGTTAGGTGGAAGGAACATCATCTGAAGGGTACCCAGGATAAAATCCCTTCCAGAAGCCCAACCCCCATGCCCAGCTCTTCCGATTCCCCCCAGATCTGGCTTTAGGCACAGAGATGACAGCCAAGAACAAAATCCACCGCTACCATCTGCAGTTTCCTCAAATAAGCTTACATCCAACAGCACATTTTTTTCAAGATAGCTTCTTCGTTCACGAACTGAGAGACCCCACTGTGTAGGATGCTGTGTTATAGCATGATCTGGTCCCAGTGGAATAAGAATTGAAATTTTCAGAAAAGTCTCTGTAATATTTTGAAGATGTTTAATATTAATAATAAATCTTCTATATCTTTCTGTTGAGTAGGCTAGAAAGTTACAGCAGCATTTTCATGATACAGAACAGATAGAGGTGTCAGGATTGCTAGCAAGGTTCTTTTTAGCTTGAACCTAAGTAACATACAGAGCAGCTAAAGGCTGAATAGATTATTCAGTTTCTAAGTAGCTACACAATGACCTTTGATAAAGTCCATGACCTTTAGTAATACTATCATGATATTTATTTAAGCTAACAGTAATTTTGTGTTACAAATTGAGATGTTGAAAATAATCAGTTTTTAAAAATATGCATTACATAAAAATAGTAAATATATTTTAAAATAATCTGAACTATTTTGTGCAATTACTCAAAAGATTGCCACAAATCTCCATTCTTTGCCATATATTTATTAGTCTCTCAGTCTTACAGACTGATAACAAGTAATCTAATAATGTAATTTATATTGTTATAGGCATAACTGAGCATTAAAGGATTACATCCTTTGGTATTATGTTTTTCACAGTGTTTTTTCTTAACTTCTTAAGTTAATATCCTATTAGGTGAAAACTGGTTTTTTTACAGTCTCTTTTTCATCATTTAATGTGACATTTACATGAAAAATTTAATCGCAGATATGAAAGAAAATCAGCTTGTACTTTGATGCATCAGGAGTTCATCTCCAAAGATTTTGAACATCAGATATTTATATCTGAGTACAAGCCATTGGGAGGCTGCTTCAAACACAGTGTATTCTGCCAATCACTCTTTATACATATGGTTTGGGATTACTGAACAAACCAAAAGTGGTCAAAAGCTGTAAATAAAAGCCAAAGCAAAATCTTTAATGCTAAACAGTCCTACGGAGAAGATAGTTCATTGCATTAGCGTCTTCCTTTTTTCTTTCCCTTTTATTAGCACACACTGCCTGCTTTGCCCGCTTAGAAATCAAGAGCCAAGCAGTGAACAAAGAGACAGTTTCATAATCAGAATATTTCAAGTGGGCAGATGCATAAAACTCATCACGTCAATTAAAAATGAGCCTTGCAGTAAAATTCTCATTGGCCAAATTGTATATCTAAACCACTGGCTTTTTGTCTTCTTATCTAATTTGTGTATGTGTCATACCCACTGAAAACTCATCATCTGTGGTGCCACGAGCTGTTTTAACTTAGAAATCAGTCAACAAATCATATAGCCTGGAAGACCACTTAGTCTGACTGAGCAGCGAATGCTTCCTGAGTTCAGGCAGTTCAGCTGATGGATCACCAGCTGCCGTAGCAAGCCCCCAGATGGTGGCAAGAGCCGCTTCTTCAGGGCTGTTTGCCCTTGATTCCTTTATTT